CGGGGGGGATGGCCATGCCGCAATCCCTTCTCCTCCATTCTCCTCTCGGGATCTTGGGCATGCACGCACACACGCCCGGCGTGAGTTTTAAGCCACCGGGTCCAGGACGTGAACCGTGGTCGACTCCGTGGGAGTCCAGCGACATAGCCATTACGCTAACTGCTGGTCCCTATAGTTATAATTTTGATAAATGCTTGTAATGTCCTGAATTTGGCCATGGAAATGTCTCCAGTTGGAGATCTAACCCTTTGGACATGCACCTTTATCCCCACTCCATTAGTCTTCGATAGCTTCTTCGCTTTCTGAAATTATATTACCTTGTTTGTTCCTTGACTTACATCTGGAATCTCTATCTTTCTTTTTTTTTTTTAGAGAGAATTTTGCTATAGGGTGCATGTGCTTGCCAGAGGGACAGACACACACACACACACACACACACACACATATATATATAGAGAGAGAGAAAGTGAGAAATCTCCCCTTCTCCCCATCCCCTCCAAGGAAGATAGCCATGCTGCAATCCTTTCTTTTCCATTCTCCTCTTAGGATTTGGGGCACACACATTCATATGCCTGGTGTGAGTTTTAAGCCACCGGGTCAGGGGCTAGAATTGTGGTCGACTATGTGGGAGTCCAGTGACGTAACCACCATGCCATCCACTGATCCCTGAACTCTCTATTTCTTCAGGGTATCTTGGAGATAAATTTTGGACACTATGATCTGGGAGCTAGGTGGGTCTATTAGTCAGGGTTATCCAGAGAAACAGAACCAATAGAAAGTGTGCGTGTGTGTGTGTGCGCACATATATAGGAGGAATAAGAGGAAGAGTATTATGGGAATTGACTCATGTAATAATGGAGGCTGAGAAGTATTACACTAGGCCATCTGCAAGCTGACAAACCAGTGAAGTTGGTGGTGTCATTCAGTCTGAATCCCAAAGTCTGAGAAGCAGGGAGCAAATGGTACAGCTCTCAGTCTGAGAACAAAAGCCTGAGGGGTGACAAGGGGTTGGGAGTGAAGGGTGAGTGTGGGTAGGCACTGGTGTCAGCTCTGGAATCTGAAAGCTGAAAAACAAGGATCTCTAATGCCCAAGAGAAGGAGAAGATACGTGTACCTGTTCAAGAATGGAAACCAAATTTACCTCTTCCTACCTTTCTGTTCTGTTCAGGTCCTTGATGGAGTGAGTGATGCTACCCATACTGGAGAGGGTGGATCTTCTTTACACAGGGTACTGATGCGAAGGCCAACCTCTTCTGGAAACACCTTTGCAGACCCTCTCAGAAACTTATTATATTAGTGGAACCAGTAGGTGGAGTGGTGGTTAAGGGCTCTGGACTCCCACATGGCTGACCATGCTTTGAGTCGTGGACCCAGTGGCTTTCTTTCTCACTTCCTCTCTCTCTCACTCTATCCCTCACTGGTTAAATAAAAATAAATAAATAAATAAGTGGATAAATAAATTTAAATAAAAATACTTCTTAAAAAAAAAAAAGAAAGCTATTTTATTAACTATCTGGGTATCCCTTAACCCGGTCAAGTTGACACATAAAATTAATCATCTCAGTGGGTTTATTCTACTTAAGTGCCACTGATTTTAGACTCTATCTATGAACAGAGCTAGTGCTAGAAAATATGTGAAGAAAAATAAACCAGTGCTTATTTTAACAGCATGCAATCTAAAATGGGAACAATGCAGACAAGATTAGCCCAGCCCCTGAACAAGGATAACAAGCAAATTCATAAATTGTTCTATATATATACATATACATATATATATGTATATGTATATATATGGACACAGTAAAGAATGTTGGTGGCAATTTAACAGATATTTCCGTGTAACCAGTAGGATACATTTTGTTATTCAAAGTAACAATAAGTGTTGGAGATGGTAAATATGTTTATTTCCTTGATCTGATTGTTACATACTGTACCTATGCTTTGAGAACTCACACAGAACCTTACAGATGTGCAACTATTACATATAAATGAGAAATTACAATAAACATATTTTTTAAATCAATGAAAAAGACAAGAATACATAAAAAGTGTAAGTTTATACTGCTTTCAACTTCTATTTTATATTATGAGAAAATATTGCAAATCGCATGTTTATAACTTGTATCTAGAATACTTAAAGAATTGTTACAATGCTTTTTATTATATTTTTATTCATTTTTAAAGTTTAAGATTTTTTTTGCACATGCACTGGCTGAAGAGGGAGAGACAGAGACAGAGAGAGGAAAGTGAGAAATCATCCCCCCAAGGAAGAATGGCCATGCTGTAATGCTTTCTTCTCCATTCTTCTCTTGGGATTTTGGGCAGTCACGCACATGTGTCTAACATGATTTTCAAGCTGCTGGGTTTGGGACCTGAACTGTAGTCAGCCATGTCAGAATCCACTGCCTTACTCCCCGCACCAAATACTGGCACCGGATTCTTAAAATTCTACAACAAAAAGATTTTGAAAATCCTGGGGCCATCAGGTGACATGGAGGGTAAGACGCTAGTCTGCATGACCGATTCTGCAGTTTGAGTTGCAGACCTGGGTGGCTTGAAAATCATGCTGGGTGCGAGTGCATGCGTGCCCCAAATTCTGAGGAGCCTGGAGGAGAAGAGACTAGTGCGGCCATCTTCCTGGGGTTGATTTCTCACTTTCTCTCTCTGTCTGCCTCTCTCTCTGGCAAGCAAGTGCAACTATGTCAAAAACTGAAAAACAGAAAAAAAAAAGATATTTAAAAACTCAACTGAAGATGGGCAAAGGATTTGAAAAAAATGTTTCTCCATAGAAGACACCTAAATGTCTGATAGGCATATGGATAGATAGATGATCAACAGGATTATTAGGGAAATGCAAATCAAAACTTCTACAGGGATGGCGAAAATAGAAAAGGTAGACAGTAACAAGTGCTTCTGTGGATACAGAGAAATTTGAACCCTCAAACATTGTCGGTAGGATTGCAAAATGGTGCAGTCACTTTGGAAAGCATTTTGGCAGTTCTTTAAAATGCTAAGCATAGTTATGACATGACTCAGTAATTCCACTGCTTGTTATATACTCGAGGGAGATGAAGATATGTATCCACAAAAAACCTTGTCCATAAATGTCTGTAGCAGCATTAATGAGAGCCCCAAAGTAGGAACAACCCAAATTCATCAACTGATAAATAAATCAAGTGTGGCATATTCATATAATGGCACATTATTTGATCAGATGAATGAAGTACTGACAAAGTACTCTTGCTAACAGGGACTGAGGGTACTCCTGTCACAGATATCTAGTGTAGATGTGGCTTAGGATTGGATGAGGGGCCAACAGATAGCGTGGTAATTAAGGTGCTGGATTCCTACATGGCGGACTCAGTGGCTTGAAAACCATGCTGGGCACATGTGTGTGTGTGCCCAAAATTCCAGAAGAAAAATGGAGAAGAGATTGCCTCTTCTGGGGGTGATTTCTCACTTTCCCTTTCTCTGTCTCTCTCAATGGTGAGTGCACACGCCCAATGGCAAACATCAAAAAGGAAAAAAAAAAGATTTGGATAATGAATAGAGACTGAAATAAATTTGAGAAGCATGATAGAAAAGCCTAGATTGTCTTGAGATGGTTGGTACAAATAGGGATGTTAAACATGCTTTTTGGTGTAGACTCAGCAAGAAGTGAGGAGAATGGCACAGAAGGGCTATCATCGTAGAGAATATATTTATCACCATGAACAGGACGTCAGTGGGCATATGGACATAGTAAAGCCATTTCTGGTGAAGGCCTAGAAGGAACTGAGGAACCCGCCGTGGAAATGGGTGGAATGGTGATCATCGTTACACAGTGCTAGAAAACTTGGTTGTGTTCTACAGCTTCGTGGAAAGAACTCGGGAGTGATACACTTGGATATTTAGCTAAGGAAATTTCTGAATAAAAAGTTGAAGGTGTAGCCTGGTTTCTTTTTTTTGCTGCTTGTGGTACAATGTGAGAAGACATCGATAAACTGGGGATGAAACTATTTAAGCAAAAGGAAAACCAGTGTTTTATGACTTGGGAAATGATCAGCATGTTCAGATTGCAGACTTAGGAAATTCACTAGCAGGAAAGCATGTGGAAAGGGAAGGTGAGGGTGTGACTGGCTGGACAACCTTTTGCTGAGATTTTTCTGTATACTTGTGTATCCAATCAACTATCTTTTTTTTTTTTTTTTAAAATTACTTTATTTAACTTTATTTATTATTATGATCATTGTTATTTTCCGGTTTGATCAGAGAGAGACAGAGAGAGAGAGAGAAAGTGAGAAAGCAAGCCACCAGGTCCGAGACTTGAACCATGGTCGGCCATGTGGGAGTCCACTGCCTTTAACCACCATGCCACTTGCCAGCCCCTCCAATCAACTATCTTAGTAGAAGGCAGGAATTGAGATGGGATTATAGAGAAAGGATCTGAAAAGGATGGTCTTATCCATGGTATGAATTTCCACGAGATACACAGGAGATTCACAAGTTGTTTTTTTTTAATCACTGCTACCCCCAGGGAGGATGGCCATGCCACAATCCTTTCTCCTCCACTCTCCTCTTGGGATTTTGGGTACACATGGACATGCACCAGTTTGGACAACTCATGGATATGTGAGTTTTTTTAAGACATCAGGTCTTAGACTTGAACCATAGCCCACTATGTGGGAGTCCAGCGATGTAACCATTATGCCATCTGCTGTTCTCACAAGATTTAAAAAATGTTACATAGGGGCCCACCAGATGGTGTAATGGTTAGGTCGCTGGACTCCCATGTAGTTGACCATGGTTTGAGTCCCAGACTTGTAGGCTTAAACTCACACTGGGCATGTGTGTGTGTGCATGCTCAAGATTCTGAGAGGAGAATGGAGAAGGGATTGCAGCGTGGCCATCCCCCCAGGAGTTGGGGGGTGATTTCTCGCTTTCTCTCTCTCTGTCTTTCTGGTGAGTGCACGTGCCCTATAGCAAAGAAAACCTTTCAAAAAAAAAAAAGTTATATCAGCAGGGGTGTTACCAGCACAGACCGGAAAGGACAGAGGCTAGACTAACTGAAAGAAGATTGTTGGACTTCTGACAACCATGTGTAAAAAACGAACAAAACATTAACGTGGCTCAGCCTAGGTGGCACTGTACTTGACTGCAGTACTGGAGGCCATGTGGCCAACCATGGGTTACCTTTCAAAAAAAAAAAAGTTATATCAGCAGGGGTGTTACCAGCACAGACCGGAAAGGACAGAGGCTAGACTAACTGAAAGAAGATTGTTGGACTTCTGACAACCATGTGTAAAAAACGAACAAAACATTAACGTGGCTCAGCCTAGGTGGCACTGTACTTGACTGCAGTACTGGAGGCCATGTGGCCAACCATGGGTTAGGATCCTCAGGCTGGTCTGAAAACACACCTGGTGTATGTGCGGGCACCCAAGATCCTCAGGATGTGGAGGGCTGGAAAGAGATCATGGCATGATTAGACCTTATCGAGCGCTCTTTCTCTGTCGTGTGCACACACATACACACAAGCACTCTCTATAATTAAAAATACCTCCAAATGAACACTTTCATGGGTCAGACATCAGAACTATTTTATTTATTTATTTTTTGGAGAGGTTTCTACTACAGGGCACGTGCGCTCGCCAGAAAGACAGAGACAGAGAAACAGAAAGCAAGAAATCACCCCCCAGGGGGATGGCCACGACACAATCCCTTCTCTTTCATTCTCCTCTCAGAATCTTGGGCACACACGCTACACACCCAACACCAGGTTTAAGCCACCAGGTTCAGGACTCGAACTGCGGTCGACTACATGGGAGTCCAGCGACATAGCCATTACGCCAACTGCTGGTCCCTCAGAGCTATTTTAAAAGGTATGCTCAAATAAGTCTTTCTTCCTGTTCCCCCTCTCTACCCTCCTACAGCAAACTGTATTAGTATTCATTTCTGATTTATCTTTCCAGAGTTTCTGGAGAAATAAGCAAAATTAAATCACACACATAGGGCTTGGCAGTTGGCATGGTGGTTGAAGCACTGGATTCCCACATGGGTGACTGCAGTTCAAGTCTTGGACCTGGTAGTTTGTTGTCTCACTTTCCCCCTCTCTCTAATCAAATGAAGAAACAATAATAATAAATAAAATAAAATAAAAAATAATTAATCCCCCTCCCACATATATGTATATACACATCTTTTCTTATTTTACCTCCTTTCTCATACAAAAGGTAGGATTTTATATATACCGTTGTGCATGTTTTTACTTAATAAATGTAGGCGACTATACCTTATCAGTATGTAGAAATCTTACTTATTCTTTTCCGTGGCTGCCGACACTTCACTGTGGGGAACGTGTATTCGGTAAATTTCGCATTGATGAGCATTCAGGTTGATTCTAGTCTTTCGGTGTCACGAACGATTTTGCAGTCACTGACCCAGCCCCGTGAGTATGTTGCTCAGGATTTTCTATCTTTCGGTAGACTCCTGGAAGTAAGGGTGCTGGTGAAACTGTAATGAACTTCTGCTAGTGCCATGTGAGAGTGCCAGGTGGGCCCCGGCCTTGCCAGACTGCTTTGGTGCCCATCTGATACAAGAGAAGTCCTCTCTCAGGGCACATTAAATTCTCACTTCACTCATTACGAGTTGAGGTTAAGAATCATTTTGGCATGTTAACAAGCAAATGGCCTTTCTTTTACTGAGAACTGTTTATCTAAAAATTGGTTTTTCTTTTTTTAAGGTAGAATGTGTGTGTGTGGGTGCACGTGAGACTGAGAGAGAGGAGAGAGGAGAGAGAGAGAGAGAGAGAGAGAGAGAGACCCTCCGCAGTCTGGTTGGTCACAGCACAACCTCCTCCCCCCAGCCCTCCAGTCCATCAGATCTTGGAGACTTGCATTGCCAGCACGTTTCAGAATAGCTGGGCCGGGAACCAGCAGCTAGCGTAATGGCTATGTCGCTGGACTCCCATGTAGTCGACCGTAGTTCGTGTCCCGGACCTGGTGGCTTAAACTCACGCCGGGTGCATGTGCGTGCGTGCCCAAGATCCCGAGAGGAGAATGGAGGAGAAGGGATTGCGGCGTGGCCATCCCCCCTGGGGGGTGATTTCTTGCTTTCTGTCTCTATGTCTCTCTCTGTCTTTCTGGTGAGCACACGTGCCCTGTAGCAAAAACCTCTCCAAATAAAGAAAAAAAAAAGAATAGCTGGGCTAGAAATTCGAACTGCAGTCACCCTGTGGGATCTGGTTTCTCCTGAGCAGCACATTACTGCTGTTCTGTGGAGCTGGGGCCTGTTTATGTTTTATTTTTAAAATTTGAAAATATTTTTGCTCCAGGGTGTGTGTGTGTGTGTGTGTGTGTGTGTGTGAGCACACACTTGCTGGGGGGGGCGGGGGTGGAGAGACAGAGACAGAGAGAAGTCAGCCCCCAGGGGAGGGGGATGACCATACTACAATCTCTTCTCCACTCTTCTCTTGGGGTTTGGACTCACATAGGTATGTGCCTGGCATGATTTTGAAGCCACCAGGTCTTGAACTAGCACCGTTCAGCTGGCCATGTGGGATCCAGCCACCTCAACCTCCACACCACCTGTTGACCCATCCTGTTTATCCCGTTTATGCTTTTAACCTGCCCTTTTAAAAAGTAATTCTTTTATTTAACTTTAATTAATTACTTAATTAATTGAGTTTGACCAGAGAGGGACAGAGTGTGTGAGAGAGAGGGAAAGTGAGAAAGCAAGCAGCCAGATCTGGGACTCGAACCGTGATCAACCCCGTGGGAGTCTGGCACCCTTTACCATCACGCCACCTACCGCCCCTCCCCCCTTCTTTTTTTAGGAGATCTGAAGGGATTTTACTCTTATTTCCTTCACTTTAAGCCAATCATGAGCTGTTACAGTGATTTCTGGGTGGAGGTGGAGGTGGAGGGACGTTGTGCCAAGAAGCCTCGGGGCTGTGGCCCTGGTGGGGCGGCCTCCCCGGCGGCTGGAGCAGCGGGACCGCTGGCAGGTGGGTGACCGACGTCGGAGAGCGCAGAGCGGGTACCCTGTCCAGCGAGCTGGCCATGAGCTGGGCTGCGTGGTCGCCCTGGTGGAGATGGCGCTGCCTGCTGCTGCTCGGCCTTGTCCACCCCGGGCCTGGGCCTCTCTGCTTCCCGCCGAGCCGCAGGTGTGGCTCTGCGTGACCTTCCCGGAGGGCAGATGTGCCAAGGACACGTCGTCCAGGGTTGCTGCTCGCTCCGTAAGGTCACCGCTCACCTTCCGCGGACCAGCTCCCTCTGGCCAGTTAGTTCTGCGTCGGCGAAGGAGCCCCCGAATCTGAGGGTCTCGGTAGTGACGGCGGCAGCACACGGCGTCGTGGGCCTCGATGCTGGCGAAGCTGCGAGGAAGCTGGCTGGTCACAGCCGCGTGGCGTTGACATTCTGTGATCTTTGCTGCCAGCCATGACTGGCACATTACATGGCCGAGAGCTGCAGTCAGAGATAACTGGTTTCTGTGCCCAGGGGATGAGAAAGCGGCCTTTCTTTTTCTGAGAACTGTTTACCTAAAAATTGGTTTTTCTTTGTTCAAGGTAGAGTGTGTGTGTGTGTGTGTGAGAGACGAGAGAGAGAGAGAGAGAGAGAGAGAGAGAGAGAGAGACGCGCCCTCCGCAGCCTGGTCACGGCATAATCTCCTCCCACCAGCCCTCCAGTCCATCCGATCTTGGAGACTCGCATATGCCGGGCGCGGTTCAGAACAGCTGGGCTGGGAATTCGAACTGCTCACCCTGTCGGATCTGGCTTCTTCCCTACCACAATTCCTGTACTCCGCGGAATCGGAATCGGTCAGAGATGACAGCTGTGTGCCCCGCATCCACATTATACCAGGCAGAGTTCACTCCCCCGGCAACAGCTACCGCCAGGCTGAACTTGCCGCGGATTCAAACACTTTGGCACCATGGCTCCTTCTGTGGGACCCACTCACACCTGCTTCCACTCTGACTTCCGCATGAATTCCCACCCCCTCTTTTTTTAAAGAGAGATTTTTGCTATAGGGCGTCTGCACTCGCCAGAGACAGAGAAAGCAAGCATGAAATTACCCCCAGGGGGGATGGGCACGCCCAATCCCTTCTCCATTCTCCTGGGATTTTACTGCACCGCGCATGCTCCTGGTGTGTTTTAAGCTGTAGGTCTGGGCCTCCAACCCAGCTATGTGGGTGTCTACTGATCTAGCTGTTACAGCATCTGCTGATCCCCCAAATCCTTTTTAAATTAATTTTAATTTTATTCTTTGTAATTATTTTATTTTATTTATTTTTTTAATTAATTTATTTTTTTTAAGTTGACCAGAGCGAGACAGAGAGAAAGAAGGAAAGTGAGAAAGTAAGCTGCCAGGTCCAGGACTCGAACCCTGATCAGCAGTGGGAGTTCTGCTGCCTTTACCACATCACATGCTGGCCCCAACCCCTTTTTTCAAAATGGATTTTTTTTTTCATAAACTTTAAGAGCTTTTTTTCTTTTAAATGATTTATTTATTTATTCACTTGTTTACTTTTAGTTTAACCTGAGAGACACCAGAGAAGGAGGGAAAGTGAGAAAGCAAGCCACCAGGTCACGGACTTGAACTGTGGTGGGCCATGTGGGAGTGTCCAGCACCTTAACCACCACGCCACCTTCTGGTCCCAATTCTAAGAGCTTTTTATGTATTAGTTCTTTGTGATGTAAGTTGAGAACTTTTTCTCAGATTATCATTTGTTCTTAATATTTAAAAGCGAATTATTTATGTGATTTTATTATTATTTTAAAAAGAATTATTTAATTTTATTAATTATTATTATTGGTTTTAACTTGCTATCGGGCACATATGCTCACAAGAGAGACAAAGAGGGAGGAAGAGAGAGAGAGAGAAAGTGAGAAAGCAAACCACCAGGGCTGGGGCTTGAACCACTGTCAGACGTGTGAGAGTCTAGTGCCTCACCCCCTATGCCACCTGCTGGTCTGTTTCTTCACTTTTCCCTGTCACTTTTGAAATGACAAAAACAACAACAAAGTTAGAGAAAAAAGTCATAGTATTGTATGACCGCAACATGACTACGTATTTTGTTTTAGACAGGGTCTAGCTATGCAGCAGTCTTCCTGTCTCAGCCTCCTGAGTAGCTGGGACTACAGGTATGGGACTATATCTGGCCTTGCGGGTGGGCTGGGAATTGAACCTATGGGCCTCAGCCTGCTGAGCAGTAGCCATCGACCAGCACATGCTGTCACAGCCGGGCCTACAGGTGACTATTTCGATGTTGCAAATTTCCTTTTAGTATAGCCATGCTTAGGTTTAGGCAAAATCAGTCCTAATTGCCGGCCCCATCTCTGGTATTCTGCTTTTGTCACCTAAGATTAGAGGATAAAGTCCTTGGATGGGTCACCTCCTGGCTGATTCATTGTTGATGTTCAGCAATGACTTAAAATCAGTGTGCTCAGGTGTCCAGATTCGCGCTCTAGAATCAGAATCCTGACTCACTTCTGCACTTCCGAAGGTCACTGGATATTGTTTGCAGGTGGGAAACAAATGCTTCCCGGCCCTTGGAAGACCGGGTCAGTTCTGTGGCCAACAACTGTATGCCAGACTCCCATTTGAAGTTCTGAGACCAGTTAATTCCACGGCTTCTAAGCCTGTCCTCAGCCGCCACCCACAGGTGTCGGAGCTGGAAGACGGCCTGCCCTTTCCTGTCTCTCATTTCAACGTGGCTGCTTCTTCCAACATGTACACGTGATTTCTCTCCCTGTCTCTCTCTCTCCTCTATGCTTCCTCTCCTCTCTGAGTCACGGCCTTTCATAGTAAACACCACATTTAGCTACAGTTGTAATCATCTGGAGATAATTTATTATTATAAATGACTAAATCTATTACAATTTTTTACCGGTGGTGGAGGAGGTTAGTGCTTCTCTCCGAATATCCCCTTTTCCCTTGAATCTTGCTTTAAATATTTTTCTTTGGTAAATTCAAGTCCACTTGATTCCGAGGTGACCCATGGAGGTACCAGGTAACGATAAGCCCTACTCCCTGGTACTGGGGTGGCAGACAGGTGAACATCCGCTCTTC